TACAATAGCGACGATTATTATTTTAAAAAATTTTTGTTAGGCTTAACATCGATGAAAATTCAACGCAAAATAGGTTAATAGCGATATACTAATATACTAATTACATGGGATATAATAATATACTACACTAATAATGGATTTTTTCATACTTTCCGGTTATCCGACTTTTCAATTATCCGACCAACCCCAGTCCCCAATTGAGTCGGATAATCGATGTTCTAGTGTAATTTTTATTTTTATTTAATTTAATTTTATTAATTAATAATTAATAGAATTTTTAAGGAAAATAAACGATTGTTTAAAGTACAAATGGACTTATACCACTTTCAATAATAACAAATTATGAAAAATATGAAAAACTAGCAGACCCCGCCACGCGTTGTTGTGGCTCAAAATGTATCTATTATAAATGTATAACACTTCCCCCGTGGGGGGGAAATTTTTCGAAAAATTTCTTCTTAGTGTACATTCTCTTGACGTACCCTATTAAAAAGCAATCAAAAACGCAAAAACCCGCATCTAAAATAATATAATAGAAGCCAAGTTTTTCACAGTAAGCCTTAATTCTGTTCCTCTCCCCCGCGGGAGAATATCGAAAAATTCCTTCTTAGTGTACATTCTGTTGACGTACCATATAATAACGCAATCAAAAACGCAAAAAACCGCATCTAAAATAGTATAAATAGAAGCAGAGTTCTTCACGGTAAGAATCCTAACCATCTCCCTTCAGTAGAGTTGAATTTCGACATGTATATTATATAAAAACACGTGCGTATTTGAATGCAGCGTTGTGTCAAAATTTCAAAGGAGTCGGTAGGAACAAACGAACATTACATTTTTATTTATATAGATAGATAGAAGATGATCTGCTTTAGTTCATTTTCACAGAAAAGCATAATGCCTCACAGAAAAGCAAACTTAGGGCGTCGTACTTGTAGGACATAATCTGTTGGACATAAAAGCCTTAACCTAGATTATATTTTTTAATTTATATGAATGTTTATCGGAATAATATACAGCCTATGTCCACCCTGAGGTTCCATTCTAAATATTGGTGAAAGAATTTTTGAAATCGGATGAGTAGTTTTGGAGATTACCTGCTGCAAAGGAACTTACATACATACATACATACAAACATTACCTCTTTATAATATTAGTATAGATATAGATATAGATAACAATTTTAAATTTATAATTTTATTGAAGTTTTGAAGTTGGCTTTTCAGAAATGTATTTTTGGGCTGCAATTTGAAAAAAAATTTTAGAGCTGTAAATTCCCACTGTTGTCCTTCTGTTTGTCTGTCCTTCCTTAATCTTGAGAAGGGAATTAGATGGATGAAAGTCGAGACTGGATACGGAAAGCTTTGAGCAGAAGGGCGAAGGTCCTAATTAACTATATACGATTTTCCGGTGAAAATCGGAAGTCACGTTATTTCAATTTAAAAAGTTCTCCTGAAAAGTGTTAGAGAGACGACAGGCACGACTCTATTGTTAACAGGATAAGTATGATATACAGGGGCAGGAGCACGTCAATACACCACTAATTTGAGATGGAGAGCATAAATTTTAAATTAAACTAAAAATATGATTTGATTAAAAACTGCAGTCTGGCATTGTGACAATGTCACAATACTTCAGTGGCATGCCGTCATTGGAAGCGGTGGAAGCGCCGCTATTATTTTCCCTTGTATTGTCTAAAAAAATAAATACATATTGCGCGATTATTTTCATATTTTAACGTATTTTGGATTAATTAAAATTAATTTTATTATAACCGCTTTATGTATTTTATTACAAATTTCTATACTACATTTGAAAAAACGATAAGATTGCTATTGTATATTCGAATATCATGGCGGATTGGAAGCGCTGTTATTGTCGAAACCGGCTTCCAAGAAGCCAGATTATGCGCATGCGTTTTACAGAGCACCAACCTCGCGATTTAGCTGGTGGAAGCTACACACATATAACGCTTCCAATGATTCTATTCAGAGGACCGGTTCTGAGTTGTTAGCCGTCTGCCTGATAGATATTTGGCCGCCCTCGCCCGATTATGTGAATCATGAGTAGATTTATAAAGGACATCCGTGTCTCACTAAATCTATCACTAACTTGTAAGTTAATTTTTTCCCAAAAATAAACTTATGTCACTTTCATTTATAAAGTCGAGGTTTTTATCAAAACTTCATAATTGCCAAGAACAGAGATAAGGTGAACATATGTAGAACTAGTGTTGCCACCTTTACAAAATTGCTGACCCGGACAGCAGGTCAGGTTTGTTCGAACAGAAGTCCCTGACGCATGCGCAATGTTATTTTACCATGCGAAGAATAACGTGCACGCCACTTCTAAACCTCAATTAGGGACTTGTCTAGGAGCAATTAAAATTAAGAAATGAAATACAGTAACTTAGCTTTAAAGAGCTGAGAAGAGAAAAAACCAACAGGTTGCGACATACGTTGGCGTAAGATGGCGAATTAAGTTCCGGTGAAGTGTGAAGTCTTTCGCTGTTAAAATAAAGTAAATTTATAAAAATATTTGCTAGTACTTTGTTTCATCATAATTTCACAATTTCTACGAAATCCCGGACAAAATTAATAGTTAACCGGACAATGAATTAAAAACCGGACTGTCCGGGTAAAAACTGGACAGGTGGCAACACTATGTAGAACTGACAAATAACGTATAAAGAATTTCTCTTTCTATATTATATTTATATACAGATAGTTATCTCCGGTTAGTAATCACTGTTCAGGAGGTCAACGTCTATATTTCAAATAGTAAATTTCGCTTTTTAGGAATAGAATTCTCTAAAATTTACATTTCTATTGCTCGAATTTCGTTTCTATTTTTAGTAATGGCTCCTATAAAAAGGAGCCGTTTCTAAAAATAGCGGTAAAATTTAAATTACAAAGGCCGCGTTTCTTTATGCAGTGCTCGAGAAGCGCTTTACAGCGAACACATTGAAACCCGTTTCTAAATGCAGCGCTGCAATGTAGCGAACCGTTTCTAAACGTTTGCTGCAAGAGGTCATTGCAGCGAAGATAAAGCAGCTTTTATGTCCGCTACACGTGTAAAGCAAAATAGACGCTTGTGGGTATAATACGATATTATGCTGTAAAAATAAAAAAGTCGAAGTGACTGTTGATAAAAATATTATGGAAAGGATAAGAAGGATTAAATTTTATAAAATGACTCTGAAAGTTATCTAAATAATAAGAAAATATTAGATTTTAAATATAATTATATATCTTCTATCTCTTTACTTTGTTCACATTTATGGAAAGATAAATGCTCAATTCTTTATATCTCTTTATTTAAATATTGTAGTTTTTTTAACTAAAGCATTACTTTCGGCTGTAACTGGAATTAAAGGATAGATTATGGCGTCCGTGTTTCGCTCGAGCGGACAGCGTTTCTAAACTATGACGCAGCGACGTGTAACCATAGCTGCTCGTGACGTCATTTAAGCTACACTCTCGCTGCATAAAGAAACGCGGCCAAATTCGTAGAGCATCTGAAATTCAGTACAAAACATTTTTTGTCCACTTTTAATGCATTCCTTAGTTAAAGGCCCGTATCATTAATTAATTTTTAATTAATTATTACTAATTTTAAATCAGATTCAAAATAGATAAACGAAGCAACACTAAAGTGTAATCTTTGAATATCGAACGTCCCTCTTTTTAAAATTTGATTTTTCTTATTTGGTATTATTATATACGTTTCTACTACGTTCTCGACGCTAACAGTTCAAAAATGAGAGGTTTTAACCGCTAAAATACTTATTAAATAACTTGTTATATAGTTTAGATGAAAGTAATATGTTTGTGATGATATAAAGTTACTGTAAATATTTTTTGATAATTAAAACTTTAGATTGAAAGCAAGATAATTAAATTACTTCTACTTGTGTGCAATCGTTTATGTAAAACTAGTCTTGTACTTACAAATTTCAATATTTCCTAAGTATTTCGTATTTATTTAATATTTTTGCCAATGATTTTATATTTTCAGGTCGATCAACTTGCTGCCGGTTTGATTGGATTAGGTTTGAAGAAGAACGATCGAATTGCAATTTGGTCTCCAAATAATTACGAGTGGGTCCTCACGCAGTTTGCTGCTGTTAAAGCAGGATTGAATTTAGTAATTAAATATGTAGAAAATTTCAAAAGAAATTTATTAAAATATTTATAATATTTAAAAAATATTGTTTTGAATTAAATTGAAATTTTAGAATTTAGATTTTAGTTTTGAAAATTTATTCATTTTTTTTTAAATTGGTAAGAAATTACAGAATCTATATATATTTTGCATAAATTTAAAATTTTATACATAAAATATTTGGCTTAAAATCATCGCGAAACTTTTTTCGCCACGAAAAAAAGAAAGAAGAAAAAAAAAAAAAAATAGAAACGGCGGCATCATCAGAAAATTTTTCTTATCAGTAGCCTATATGAAAAGAAATGGGCGAAATCCCTTAGTAGTAAAAGAATTTTAATCACCTAATTTTTATTTTAATAATACTAATATTTGCAATTATTATTGCTACAGGTTTGCCTAAATCCCTCATACAGAGCAGCAGAATTGGAATATTCTCTTAACAAAGTAAAAAAGTTTTTAATAGAGTAATATAAATTAATAATAATAAGTTATGAAAGAAGAATTTTACTGAATAAAATATTTTCAGATCCAATGTAAGGCTATTGTCACCGCTGAAAGTTTTAAATTACTGAATTTATATGACATAATATGTGAAGCGATGCCCGAGGTTCCTAACTGTAATCCAGGTCAAATGCGTTCACAAAAGTAAGGCAAATTGTTTACTCTTGTGTTTTCTTTATATGATAAAATTTTATCGATATATTTTCCTTTCGTTTAAATTCATAAATTCGTGAAAACGTTGTAGCTAAATATAGTATTATATTGGATTAATGTGTTAATGTAATACATGGCAAATTAACAAATAAGGCAACACAATACATGAACAATCTGCCAAGAGAAGTACAGTACCTGCAGAGAGGACCTTTAACTTCCATTTTGGTGTTATGTGAAGTAAACCCGGCTAACTCCACGTAGTCAGCTTGTTTGTTAAACGCAAACCTACCACTAACTACTAATGTTTATAATGTCGGTCATTAGTGGACTAACTTGATTTAAAAATAGCATCCTTACATTAAAATGCAATTGCAACTTACAGTATTACTTCTACTGTATGACTAATCTTCTTTCGTTCAATGTTTTAAAAATACTGAGATGATTACTTACGAAACTATTTTTATTAACGACAACTTTCATACCGTTTATTTATTTACTTTCCCGGCTATTATAACAGAGGGAAAGTATGACAATCTGGCAAAAATTGATCTCCGCCAGATTTTTGCATGTTTGGAAACAGGTGACCTTGAAACGTCGAGAAATGCAAAAAATTCGGGGGGGGGTAATATCTGTATGTATGGATGTTAGAGTGTGTGTGTGTATATGTGTTTATAGGGTATGATTTTGTTCACCCTGTTTGAAGCTTTTGTCTTTTTGTCGAAAATTTCTGAAAATTTGCAGGAAGTTTTGTTTATTACAGGGATTGATGCTATTAAATTTTGGCGACGGTGTGGAGAGATAATGGAGATCGTGTGTATCTCCAGTAGAGTTGGACGATTTTAATGACGATTTTACTCGTTATTGGCATTTACAATTTTTTTTTTTTTTTAAACTTATCTCTATCCTCAAAATTAAGCGTTTTGCCATTTTATAATAGTTAAAAACCTAAAAAGTTTTAAAATAAAATATGATAACAGATGGCGATACCAAAATTTTAAATGTTGCCGAGAAAGTGAGCAATTCGTTTCTGGATATTTTTGTTGTCGTTTAACTTTGTACATTTTGCTTCTTGAAAGCTTCTATTCGAATGCTGATGTATTGTGTTTTTACCAGAAGAAGCTGTTATGATTCTCAATCGGGGTGAATTCATTAGTCTTATATTTTTGGATGTTTTTTAATACGTTACATGAAAAGTGAATTGGTAAAGGTATCACTCTACTTAGCATATATTATTTCAGTGTTCTTTCAGAAATCTATTATATTAATGATTATAAATAATACTCCGCAATTGAAAGTTTCATTACTGGAACTATCGATAATGACAAATCGAAAGAATTTTGTTAGGTTTTTAAAAAATTTTTCCATTGTATAGCGCTTTTTAAGTTTTGGCGCTAGCATTGCAAGTCTAGATATTTGTCTCTAGATTCATGGGCGTCTGCAGAGGGAAAAAACCGGAGTACTTGCTTTCCCTTGGAATCGAATAAAAAATTCCACAAATTATAATGGTAAAAGTGATTCAGATATGTAACCTTACAACCTCGAGCATGGGATGCTTTCTCTGTCTTGTATTCACGCAATACAGCATTCTATAATCTACTTGTCAAAAATCCCAGAAAATTATATAATTAACCTTATACCCATGACCATGTGACATTTTGATGCAATATTGTATCCAAAAGAATTAAATAATTAAATAAAAATTTATTGATGTAATTATTAGTCTACATGCTCTATCCTCCTGGAATATTTTCTGCGAACCCAAGGAATTTCAAATGACAAAGGATAAACGGGATATTTTCGTAAATTTTTGGAAAATGTAGGGGAATTTTTTTTTTAAATGTATCCCAAGCAATTTATTAGCGACTTCTATTAATTAAAATTCATTCATAATCAGTTAAATAGTTAAATTTTTTCTTAGTGTGGATGTCGTATGATAACCATTCAATTAATAGTGTAGCATTAAAAATCCTCGAATTCAAATGAGTTTATGTATTTATTATTTGTGAAACATAACATTACATTTTATTTTAATATATTATTTATAGAAATACATTATTATGACAGCTTTAGCTAAATACATTTACCATTAAAAAAGATAGCATACAAATATCCATTGACTACATCCGCAAATTAACGACTATAGAGCAACGACTTAACAAAGTCGGTTTTCAGATCGGTTAAAAAATAACTGAAATCTTGCCAACAATTTCATGATGTAATAATGAAACTTTTATTAGCATTTATTTAGTCTAAATATTAGTTTCGTTGTTATGTAATAGAGAGCTTCTCAAACTTTCTGTGTTCACTGACCAGTTTTTTATTCCAATCACTCGCAAATCAGTATCTGCATGAAATTAAGGATAATTGTGATGTCTTTAGTTATGCACGCGATCTCCAGCAGATGAGGATAAAAATTTAATGTTTTTTCTACAGGAAAGTCCAACGGAAGCAAATAGGACGAAACAGTTTTGCATTAGAATTCAGTTTAATTCTTCTATTAACGTTACTATTCAGAATTTAAAACATTGAATTCGTTAATTCTTTACGAACTTTTAAAGTGAAAAAAAATCGCAGATCTTCCGTTTCCGAGAATTTTTGGAATTTCTCATTTAAAAAAAGCGTTTAATTTTTAACGTCATCTGCTGAAGACCACATGCACAACCAAAGAGGTTACAATCAGACTTAATTAGAAATTTCGTAAAACACTTACTAAATAAAAATAAAAATTTTCTAAATTTTTAAAAAATTTCTAATACTATTAATTTTTCTCTTGCAATTTTAGAGTGAAGAGTCTTCAATACCTAATTACACTTGCAAATAAATCCTTGCCGTAAGTAATATACATTTACAGGTGCTCCCTTACATATGAACGTTCAACTTACGAACAATTTGACAAACTTTCAGACTTACGAACAATTTGACAAACTTTCAGACTTACGAACAATTTGACAAACTTTCAGACTTACGAACAATTTGACTGTATACCTAAAATTTTAATTTCGCGCAGTACTGAAATTCGCTTGCTGCTCGTGAGGTGGCGTCGAAGTCAGTGTTTGGCCAGTAATAAATAATTACTGTGGCCTTATTTCTATTGCGAGGCATCATTTTTCATTTTCGCACGAATTCTGAGGTTCCATTGCTGCTCATGAGATGACGTTCGAGTTGGTAACGTTGCAGTAACGAAGTCTTTCACTATTTTTCAATATTGTTTTCAACTTTTATAAAATTTTACGATTAGTGTTTTAAAGATGCATCGAAAACACAATAATAAATCCAGCAGTAGAGATAAATACAAGAAGTGTCACTCTATTGCCATGGAAACTGAACTGGACATTACAAAACTAAGTGCATTAGGTTAAAAAAAAACATGAAAACACCTGCTACTTTGCAGTAGCGAGCGGGTAAACGAGCATAACGTATTCAATACAATACGTTACGCTCATTGAAGGATGAAATACTAACAACAAGTGGTTATTTTGTGTACAAATATACTTTCTAGGTTAGTTTTCGACTTACGACAAAACCTCGAGAACTTAACCTGTTCGTAAGTAGGAGAGCATTTGTATTTTCGTTAATTCTATATTATGAACCGAGTTATTAAAAACGTTTAAATTAGATATTTTAAAAATAATTTATCATAAATTAGAGAGGTTGAGGCTGAAGTTTTAAACGCGAAAACGTGTACGTCGGATGTTCAGCGCCGCTTTCCTGTAAGCCTAGAAGTTTGACAATAACGTTTGGAATGTCGAGCATGATTACACTGACTATCCAAACACCATTGTCAAACTATTAGGCTTACGGGAAAGCTGCGCTGAACATCCGACGTACACGTTTTCGCGTTTAAAACTTCGATCTCAACCTCGCTATTATAACATATATTTATTGAATTTAAAAAGAAATTCGTTGTGAAGATAAAGATTTTAAAATTAAAGAAATGTAATCGATCTCATTAACAGAGGAACGTATAAGTTGAAGGAAATACAAGAAAATGATGGAAATGAAAATAGAAAAGTTCTTCACCAACGACAGAAAATAATTCAATTTGATGACCCCTGTACTATCATGTTTACATCGGTCTGTATATCTTATTCCACTGTTTTTTTTATCACTACTTTATTTTAAAATTAAATGCTTTGCCAGAAAAATTAACTATAAGTATTCTTTTCGAGTAACTCAAAATTTTAATATTGAAAATTTGGTACTGCGAGCAACAAAAAGAACTTTTAATTGTGGGGGCACTTTAAAAAATGTTTAATGAAGACAAGCTACAAGTTTGGAAACCTCGAAAGATAGTATCACATTGCATGTGAAAAGCATTACACAAGATCAGTCGCTGAACACGCTGTTAATCGCCTTCAGTTTATATCTTCATAGTTTTACATCATATCGATCAGTTCCTTTTGACTCTGTAATTCTCAGTTCTGTATGCACTAGTGTCTTCTAATGTTATTGCTTGCAGTGCCAAAGATGTCATAATGGTGAGTTTTGATATTATTCTTTTTTATGGAAACTTCTTGCCGATAAGTTGTCCCGGGAGGTCAGTTACTAGCGATTATCTTTATCGACGATCAGTTGTTGTGGCGGTCAATTATTCTGATCGCACATTCGAATATGTTAAGTATCTCTCTAGTTTTTGAATGTTCTTAGGTTAAGGCCACTTCTAAAAATATTCACGTCATAACATTTAATTTAAACAAATTTGTTTCTGTTTAAATTTGTGGGAACTGATATTGAATCCTTGTGGCTGAACTACCCAAGAATATTTTTCGAACGACAGTCCGTTTCGGATACAGAGGATGCTTTCCTCACTACCTGGTAGTCGCATTGTTAGTGTGGTTGAAACTCTGTGCCACTGCGAAGACCTTTTATCAGGCCCGTGAGGCACCACAGTGTCCACAAGGAGGAAAGAATAAACAAATCACTGCAAACTGAGACATCAGATGATATCTTAATTTAACACGTGAATATTAGAACGTAGGCTTACAAGCTGAGAGATCAGATGGTATTACTGCAAATAAATATTTAGGAAGTGATCACTTTTTTGTTTCTACAATGTTTAGTTTTTATTACTTATCACTGCTAAACAATTCTGACAAAGAAAGACATGCTGATTATAAAGTTGTTGTCAACTCTTCAAAGAAGGCAGAATTTAGTTCATAAAAAATTGACAGGCTCAATAATGAAATTTGTATTTAGGTTCACCTATTATTTATAAGTCTCTTCAAAGCTTACAGGTTTTATTAAGTAAACTACCACATACGTATTTTCTTATTTCTGTTTTAAAACAAAATAAAGGGTACAACTGGAAATCCAAAAGCCGCTACATCCAGCCATTTTCAATTAATTAATAACTCAATTGCTTTTGCAAGAAAGATGGGATTCAATAGAGAGGTATAAAATTAATTTCATTTAAAAAAATTTCCTACATTTATATACTATTAACAATAATTTTATCAATGTACTTGTTAGCGTGTGATACTTTGCTTGCACCTGCCACTCTTTCATGCCTTTGGTTACATTCTTGGACCATTAATGACATTGCAGCTTGGAGGAAAATGTGTAATCCCTTCAGAGGTCTTTCATACTCCTTCTTCTCTGGAGAGCATCCAAAACGAAAGGTATCACATACTCGAGTATATCATAGGATTTATTTTAAAAATTTATACATATAATTACATTTGAGACATTATATGAAATGCAGGTGTACGTTAGTGTATGGAGTTCCGACAATGTATTTTGATATGTTAAAACATCTCTCCGATTCAAATTATGATCTCAAAAGTTTGCAAAAAGGTAATATTTTACAGTACTGCATTTATTTTACAATGAAACAGCATTTTGACAAGGGAAAAAAAAACAGAAAATATTATTCATAAAAGCGTAAAGATCATTGTGAAATGTGAAGAATATTATAAATTATATAATTATATAATAAATTATAAATTATGTTTTCAAAAGTGAAACAAACGTACGTAACAATTCAAATTCAATCAAACTTCGCATTGCATAAAACAGAGAAATGCATAACTGAAATTTCTGTAAAATACCAAATAGTATACATTATGAAGAAAGTTGTTGCAAGCGCTTACACGTTTGCGTTTTGTACTCAGCTTGTGATCAGCCAGGTTCACATGGTCCTTCATGTTAATCTCATATATACAGTATATACTTCATTTAACAATTAGGAACAATGAACTTCATACACATCGAATATATTCACACTTCCGTCTTTCAAACTAGAATGTACATGTTTATTTTCTAATAATCTTCTGTTTCTTCTTCTGTCTTTAAAATTATAATCATATACGTTATAGAGAGTGTATACAGTATAAAATACAGAGTGATTATAATTAAAGTTCCACTTTGAAATGGCCATAAAATGAAAACTACTCGACAAAATGTTATCAAACTTGATAATAGTGTACAGGACGTCACGGGATTTTATTTCCCGCGAAAATAAAATAGTTCGAAAACTCACCACCAACGGGAAATGGGCTGTCTGTAATATTGTTAAATGAAATAAGACACGAAGACATCGTTGAAAATGTTTTTAATCGGTTTTAAAACGAAACTGTTTGTGGGGTTAAGCAAAATCACAATAGCTTACGGCAGGAAGAAAGTGATATGCTAAGAGCTACTGTTGAGAACACAGTAATGCGATGTAACTTGCTTATCAAAAATGGTAGACACCACATTGAACATGCTCTGTAACGCGTTTTAAAACCGATTAAAAACATTTTAAATGATGTCTTCGTGTCTTATTTCGTTTAACTACATTACAGACAGCGCCATTTCCCGTTGGTGGTGAGTTTTCGAACTATTTTATTTTCGCGGGAAATAAAATCTCAAATCTCATCTTTGGCGTCCTGTACACTATTACCAAGTTTTATAACATTTTGTCGAGTCGTTTTTATTTTATGACTATTTCAAAATGGAACTTTAATTATAATCACCCTCTATATACAAGTCATCACTTAATATTGTAGATAAGTTCTTGAAAACTGCGAGTTAAGCGAAGCGACGTATAACCAGTTTTGAAACAACTGCTCTATTTATTATGTCTAACTTTACTATTTAATTGGTTAAATTATTTACATGTGTTATGTTCTACAGCAATAGTGCCCAATCTATTGTCCTTAGCCAAATTCAACTTGCAATACACATTTTTCGTATATAAGAAATATACAAAGTATTTGTGCGTCACCCCCTTACACTTATGCGCAGTTTGGCCAACCAGCTGAGAAGTTTCGGCATCATTGTCTTACATAAGTGGCCGTCCATAAATTACGTAAGGGCGATTTCTTACACCCACCCCTATGTAAGAAACCGTAATATTTTCTTTGATCCCCCTCCGCTTCCCTATCTCACGTAATATTTAGGCATGATTTTTTAGAAAGATTTTAACAAAAATATTTTTTTATGAAACTCTAAACACCTTAGGTCCAAAATATATAATTTTTAATTAGTTAATTAATATGTATTATTATTTATAAAAGACTTTATGTGAACAAATTTAAAAATATAAAAATTTAATGAATTCGAATGAACAATTTATTTTAAGAACTTTATTTTTTAATTATTAACAATCTTATTATTATTATCATCATTAATCAACGTCATAATATTTATTTTTATATTAATTTTAATTTTCACAAAAGACACAAAAAACTTTGCCAGATCGACTAGC